TATGTTATGTTGGTACTTGGTTGAGTAAGGCACCGGGTGCCCGTTGCGACCCTTCGATTTGGGTCGTGATAGAAGTGGTATCAGAGCAGTTCTGTCCTAGGGAGTCTACAAGCCATGTCTAGTAAAGTCTTGTTTATGGGTATGTATTGCACCATACTTATAAGCAGGAGGCTATAGGGCATATAAGACTGTCACTCTTTCTTCTTACTCTAGATCGTGTTGTAGAGCTCAATTGTAAGAATTCAAACTTCTAAATTCTATTATATTCGTAATACAATGATACCTCATCCAAATAAACAGTTGGTATGCGATTGACTGTGGTTGTGGAAGAGTTGAGTCAGAGGAACTCGATTTTGCATCATGCTTATGATGAGCAAATGTGGGGTCTTCAGCAGATCATATGTATTCTAAGATGTGTAAGCTTCTTGATAAGGAGCCCTAAGGAAAGAATATCTATCCACTCGTATGGTAAAAAGAAATAAGTGAATCGGAAAGTAGACACAAGTTTCAGCAAGTAAAACAAGCAAGATGACAAAGGGTACGTGGTACCTAGTTAATAAAGATTATCAGTATTTACAATTCAGGCAGAGAAATGTCAGTATTGGTGTTACCTTCAATGTTAACGATGATATATACAATTGACCACACCCATCTCAGTTGTGCCCTATAGGAGCTAACAAATATAGTTTAAAAGAAGAAGGTGATATCAAGATTCAATTCGGGTTAGAGTAACCAAAAATTATGGATGGATTGTTATCATTAACTAATGTATCCGAAGGATAGTTCAAATATGGTAATAGATCTCCTTGTGAGACACCTAGATGATGAACTTTAGAATAGTATAATCAGATATGAATACTAGAATATTCAGAAATTTCAGAAGATAGGTAGTGGGATCCTAGAAGGGAAAAATATTTCCCTTAGTATGACTCCAGACCCGAGTAAGAAAAAAGGAAGAATGTTAGGCATTCCGAAGATCCAGTGAGATAAAGCAAGGGGAGCTAAAAGTGAAAGAACATTTTGTTCAAGTTTCAGAATAAAGTGATAGACAAAAATATTATTCGAAGAATAAGAAGAGAGTAAATGAAGCATCATGAGTAAGATATGATATATGGGTAATAACAGTAAATCAAAATATGACATGATGATAGAGTCTATAGTCGAGTGAAGGAAAATACAAGAGGTAACAGGCCTTGAGGCAATAAATGAGTATAGGCCATAAAGTCATATCTTTATTTCGAGAATGAGTTGGTGACTTCAATGTGATTACTAGGAGGCAAGGTTAGACCCCAGAGTAGTAGAAATTAGTATGGGCTGGTGAACAAGATAAACTGAACATGAATTAGGGACTGAAGGATTTTATAATAGTTGATATCATGTGAATTTCAGAGATAACATTCTGACAATAATAGAATGGACAACAAAAGAATAACTTTTAAGGTTCATTTATGAAGATGCTTCCCTAAAGCAAGCACGTGGAGCAAAGTTAAGCTTAAGGGACTAAGTGTACCAGTTACATTAAGTGTCACCCTTATGCGTAATAAATTCAATTATCCCTGGTATAGAGATGTTACCGCAAGGCGAGTAAGATGTTAGTGAAGATGTGAAGAAAATACCAAGATGAAGAGGTAACTATGGAATAGTAAATGAGGAACCGGTAAAAGAGTGAAAGGAATGAGATTGCATCTATTCAGATCCTATAGATATGATATGACTCCAGAACATTATGCAAGCATGACGCCGGAGAGAAGCGGTAAGGGTTGCGCACATGATGATATTGATAAATAAGTGCAAATGAACACTTGATACATAAGGAGCCAATACGAGAGGTAACTTAAGACAAAGTAAATAACTAAAGAGAGATTACGCGGAATATAGATATGGGAATGGACCAACGAGTAGTTTGTAGTTGATTCAAGAAGAGCCAAGTTATGGCTATACAAGAGGTTATAAGCAAATCAGTAGATCATGCAAGATAAACTTAGTGAATCCTAATTTAGTAAATTCAGTCTCGCAGATAGGATGTCGTAACTTTGAGAAATATTCAGATAGGAGTTGGGTTACTAAAGGTACCGTATAAGTGTTACAGAAATAATGGAGAGTGCCACTAAGGAGACAATCAAAATCTGAGTTTAGAAGTAACCCTACGAGCACAAAGGCACGAAGGTATGTAACTAAGGATGTTTGTAGGCGAGTAAGAACATCGAAAATTCCTTCGGGTATACAGTATAACAAGATCGTAACTTTACAAGATCCAGAAGGTCTCCTTAAGTACTACAAAGAAAGACTAGCTGAGGAAATAAGGAAGAAGGCTTCAACTTAAGCATAACGATATAAAAAGAAATGGTCTTGTAACAACAGTCTCACTACAATATTGTATATACTCCATAAGAAAGTGGCACCTATGGTGACTAATGAACGGGAAGTCAAAAGTGATATTTGAGATCATATGAGTTATAGGAAATTCAAGTATTGGTGGGCAATAAGATAAGCCAAGTATTCATGCAACAAGTGGCATAACAACCAAGAAAAGTGATTGCTTACATTTAAAGAACGCTGAGAAGGCACGAAAGGAATTATTCAATCAATGATCTAGAGTTAATTACGTTGTGAATGCAATTAAGACTTTAGAGTTATATCCATGCAACATATATGTTGACATTCATACAGCTATAGGAGACTCTGGTATAAGTTAAAAGAAAGAATTAAGTCCACGTCACCTATAAAGGCTTGAATTGTTAGAATATTATATCATGGATGCTACATAGAGTCCATGAAAGGCTAATGTAATAGCTAAAACCCTAAGCTGAAGATTGGAAGATAGCATAAGCTTAATTAAAGGCTGAGAAGGAAGAGGAAGCTCGAAAGTTACATCATGAGTCCTATTGTTAGACCTAGATGATTATAGAAATCATGACTCAAACTATATCAGGAGCACTTTTAATAGCAGAGGTATAAAAGAGATAGTATAACAATCATATTCTATAAAAACTCTACGATAAAACAATTAGAAGAGTACCAGCCTCATAAGACGTAAATACGAAGCTCCCACCAGATTGTGTATGCACCAGGGTTGCAAGTATTATAGTAGAGATTTAAGGTATGGATGTGAATTCCACCAATGTAGAAGGGAGGTTATGAAATTGATAGAAGATACGGTGCGAGATTTAAAGGTAAGTATGGTAAATGTGAGTGAGAAGGTGACAATAATAGTCAAGGTCTCATGATTAAACCCATCAAAACAAGAGAGCTGATGCTTTTCATGAGCTATAGAAAGCTCGGTACACTCTGAATGAACTCAGAGGAGTCTAAGAATAGGATCAATTAGAAGAGATGGAATATTGCCCTGGTAGTAGAATAAGGGTGTAATTGTGATAGTTAAGAGAATGACGTTTGAGCCTTCGATTGAGTAATGATTTAAAGAAAAGGGATTTCATGGATGGTACGGTATTAGAATGCCCCCATAAGATGAATACGTTGAGATATTATGAAAATGTAGTTATTGAAGTATAGTATCATCCCTAGGTGCATCAAGAAAATCACTTCAGATGTTCCCCGATGAGATGTGAGCCTTAGTGACAATGTATTACATTTGAGGCAATGGTTGGAGTTAGTGAAAGACTATGATGTTATTTTATATCATCCAGGGAAGGCGAATGTAGTAGTCAACACCCTCAATCGTAGATCTATGTGTAGCCTATCTATTTACAGGCATAGAAGAGTGAGATAGCTTGTGAGATTCATCTGCTAGCTAATCTTGGAATTCGATTACTAGATGCAGGTGGTACCAGAGTTACTACTTAGGACATGGAAACCTCCTCTTTAGTAACTGAAGTGAAGGAATGCCAGTATGAAGATCATATGCTAGATCATTATAGAGATACAACCCATCAAAAGGAGAAGACACTATTTGAGATTACATGAGATGAAGTCCTCAGATATCGAGGTCGATTATATGTTCCTAATGTGGCAGGGTTGCGCCGGCAGGTTATGGGACAAGCAATGAGAAATTAACCTAGAGTTGTGTAGCACACCTCGGTAATAATACCAATGCTATAAAATGAAATATAGCAATAGTCATACATTCAGAAAAGTACCAAGCGAAAAGCTTAAGTATACCTATATATGCCCAGAGGGACATCTTGTCATAGTTCTATATATGTATTCACAAAGTGAAGCCAAGCGATTGGCAAAAAGTTGGAGGAAAAAGGAGAGAAGAGTCGTGCATAAAAGGACATAGTCATATAGGATACATCATAGAAGGTAGTCGAAGTTACGAGATTGGAAGAACTCCGTCCATAATTCGCGAGGTGAGAATAGGCCTAAGGGGGGGAATGCCCTAGTTTTTAAATTTATTCACAGAACAATTGCCTAGATGACAAAGGACAATATTAAAGTATTCATAAGAGCCATATGGTATGAGAAGGGGAAGCACATCAGTCAACATTCGAGGACGAATGTTCCAAAGGGGGGAATAATGTTACAACCTATGTTTTTGTACCTGAAAGTACATCGTGAGTCAATTGATGTAAGCGCAAAAAGGATGAAATCCTTCTACAAGGACAAGAAAGGTTTGCCGAAGTGTTAAGCAAGTTAAGATGAATATGAGACTTGTTAATCATGATTTAAATGAGTTTAAATCCATGATATGGCTATATATGATGTTTGTATATGAAGTATAAAGTTTAAGAAAAATCGGATTTAAGTTGCGGAAAAATCGACTAAGGATTTGCCTTGTAATGGAGCTTTTTGAGTAATAAATTTCGTGTACTATATGAGATCATATTTGGACATATTATATACTAAATTGAAGGTCTTGGAATGTAGTTTCCAACTCTATTAACCGTTCGTTCATACAACATCCGGATAAAAAGATATAAGTATTTGAAAAAGGGCCAATGAGATGGTACCAAGTAGCACCTTTTTGACTTTTCAACAAAATGGGATATTTACATCCCTTATCTCATCTCTTTCCCCATTTTTCCAGATAGCACGACCAAATAACACCCCTAACCTTCCCCTCAAGTTCTCCACATGGGTTTCCAATAAGATTATCATCCGGGGCACGAAATCAAGTAGCGATAACATTAAAACGATCCCTACGACGTAAGTATCACTATATTGCTTCTCTTTTTCTTTGTAGTTTAAGTTTTGGAAGATATTTAATATTTAAGAAAATACCTTATTTCTATATTTAAGCTTTCAAAAATGAAGGAAGGTTGATAAATACATTTCGTAATAGCTAGAACGCATGGGACGGTTATCGGAAGCCGTGAGTTCGAATTATTCGACTTGTTGTGTGCTGTTTTTGGGCTGTTTCATGTAGCTTTTGGTCTGTATATTTTGCTGCTATTTAATGGAGTTTTTGGAGGATAAATGGTGTGGAGAAATACCACGTAATGGCAAAATGATGGATTAGTCATTCTTTGCAATATTTTCGGGGTGTTGGACACTATTATAGTCGTCGTTTTTGGTATGAATTGATTGGGGTATGTTGGGCTGTTGTAATCTAAATATAATGTGGATTTCGACTTGAATCCACTGTAGGAGGTAATTATATTGTGTTCCTACTGGCGCTTAAGGTTATCTTGGCATTGGATAAGTTAAATGGATGAACTAGACATGAACTAGTGTATAAAGTTGCTAATTAAGAATAATTGGAGTTGTGGATCATTTTCTTTGTTATGGATATATGGTATAAGACTGGAATTATTGATGAATGACTTCATTATCATCTTAATAATACTATTAAATTAAAGTAAAAAGTCTATAAGGTATGATATGGGGTATACAAATTCCAATTGGAGCTTGTCGCTCGTCGTAAAATAGTTGTGATTTGTTGTTGTTTTATGGTGTCTTGTTATTGATAATTATGTATTGCTGGATTTCTCTGGTAATTGTTGTTGGTATAAGTAGGCTCTTGTTACAGGGGAGATGCTGCCCGAATTTATATAAACGAGCTACAAGTTTATGTTGCAGACTTAGCCTTTATTCAATATTGATTTTGAATCTCCTTATGCAATGGTAGATTGAATTGAGTTGTTTGAAGAGTTGCTTGGGAGGTATTAAGGACTCAACGTGGTTAAGGTATGTTAAGGCACTTCCCTCTTTCTTTTGGCATGATCTAAAGTGAAATGAATACTCTATTTCATAACGGATCTACTCCTAGAAATTAAGGTTGCCCATGTTGTTCTTTCCTTATAAAGTTATTCTAAGCAAGTATGTATGATCCTTGAATCCTATAGAAGCTCATATTGATGGTATGATGTCCATAATGTTAATCGAAAATGCAACGACCTAAGTCACTCCAAAGGTTTAGAACGTGATTCCATGAGTCTAGTATGCATTACATATAGTATCTATTTTACTCTACCGAGCCGCGCTATAGTAGGCCGGGTATGACGCCTATTATGCAACCACTGATCAATTGGATTTACCGAGCTCCACGTAGCCGGGTACGATTCTACTGAGCCTTATGATGGCCGGGTACGTTTTTACCGAGTCCTCTTTGAGGCCGGGTACGATATGATGATGATGATGCCACAGAGGCATATGTTTTTAAAAGTTTATGTATGTATATGTCTTATGCATTTCATGTCTGTATCCCCAGAGGCACTTAGATGTTACAGGTTGTATCTCCTCTATCTCTCTTTACATTAATGTTCTTGTTTATGCTTTCCTGCTTTACATACTCAGTACTTTATTTGTACTGACGTCCCTTTTGCCTGGGGACGCTGCGTTTCATGCCCGTAGGTCCCGATTGTTAGGTTGATAGTCTTCCTAGTAGGCTATTAGCTCAGCGGAGGTGTTGGTGCACTCCACTTGCTCCGGAGTTGCCTATTTGGTCAGTATGCTTTGGTTATGTATTGATTGGTATGGCGGGCCCTGTCCCGACCATTATGATTTTATGTACTCTTAGAGGCTTGTAGACATATGTCAGGTTTATGGATACTTGTATGGCCTTGTTGGCCTATGTGTTGAGTTTACAAATGGTCATGTCGACCTTATAGGCCCGTATATCACATGTATAAGTTTGTATATTATGTTGGGTCGTCATATGTTGAGTATTCCCTTACGTTTTATTCTTGTTATCTCATGATGGGTTTCTGGCTCATTTACTCAAGATAGTATAATAAGAAAGATATGTTATGTTGGTACTCGGTTGAGTAAGGCACCGGGTGCTCATCACGGCCCTTCGGTTTGGGTCGTGACAAAGCTGAAGTTTTTTTGTCCTGTATTCATTAGTTTTGCCATAAAGCATTTTCAAAAACTTTAGTAGAAGATGCTGAAGTTATTTAGTTCATTTGTAAAAACTTCAGCACTATATAAGCTGAAGTTTTTGATAAAGCTTTCTAACATACTATATAAATAATCAGATTGCCAACAGTATCTAAATCATAAATTCTGGAAATAATAAACGTGAAAAGAACAGAATTATCATTGTCTACTAACTTACGTACGGGAAAATATTCACAAATTATTGTCTACTAACTTACGTAATTATTTATAATTTATTTTTAAATAATATGATAAACATATTTATGTCAATCATCCCATGAACTGAAGTTTCATAGCAGTACCAACAACAACAGAAGAAAGAAGAAGAAAAAGAATAAAACGAAGGAGGGAGAGAAAGGGGGCTGAAGTTGTTTAAAAAGTGGGTACAAATTAAAACTTAAAAAAAAATAGGTATATGTTAAATGAGGGCGACCAAATAGGGTGCCCCGTGCAATTTTTACTACTTAGTGTGCGGAAACAAAATGGGATGAGCCGGTCCAAGCTTGATACTGGATTAGGCTTTGATGAGTTCAGCTCGACTTGGCTCAACTCGACGGCAAGGCCTACACTTGAGAGGAGAGCAATTAAGATGCTGCTAATGTGCTGCACCTATGGTGACAACGGATTGATCTCTCTTCTCTTTTTTTATTTTTATATTCGGATAATTTTTAATGAATGGCAATATGTAGAGTGATCGTATATGTCAGAATGTCTTGCTCTACAAAATATTTCTTCAGCTAAAATGTCTGCCTTATTCTCAGAGTAGCAAAATGACTACAATTAAACTTTGTTGCCTGTTTACCCTCGTTTACATGGGCAGCTTCAACTGAAGGCAAAGGAAAAGAATAGCAAGATCATTATTTCCATAGTTTAGCAAATTCAATCAACAGAAACCAAAACTAATAGACAATCATATATTCTTTGATGTATTTAAAAGAAAAAAAAGGAACTTATTTATGTTGATCAGAATTAACGTTACCTGCTTAGTCGTAGCAAGAATAAAAACAAAAATCATTGGAGATATCACCAACTAAACAGCACATACCATTTTGCTGGAGAAAAATAAAAGACTAGTCCAGCTATTTACAAAGACCAATCCAAACCTTCTTCAGATCCCCAATCCATCTTCTGCAAAAAAGGTTTTCAGCTTGCTGGGGAGAACAAAGTGAAGAAAAAAAAAGTAAAAAACCAAGCCTTTCAAATTCCTCATTGGAAGATTTATTCGGGCTCCAGGTCCTGTCGGAGCCTTGACACCTGACTCAAAACATGGAAAATGAGTAGTCCGGCACACTGCTAATTTTGTTTCAATCACATCTTCGCCGCTTTTTAGCTGGTGTATCTGTTTGATTAAGAGTCACCTCTCTTGTATCACAATGGTCCTCATTGATGGATTTCTTCAAGCTTTTGCAATTATGGAACGAAGTCAGTTCCTCTACTTTCACCTTCGTAACATCACTCCTCACACCAATGTCACTTACATACTTCGTCAAACAATACATACCAGCGGTTGCTAAGACTAAGCCAGCCGGACTTGACATGAATAACTTAAGGGGCGAAGAAGCAATAGCTGCCAAAGGAGCATTTATAACAGAGGCAGCTTGACCGCTCCTTCCAAGAGCTCCTTGGTCAAGAACAAGAAGACCTGTTTTACAGTACAAGGCAAAATCTTCACAGTTATTCTTGAAGACATCATAGTTTCCAAAACCATTTTGAAGCAAGTACATGGCTCTATGGATCACTGCCTCTGGAGGATCAGATTGTGCAGTTGTGCATGTGCCACCTCGGAGTTTAGTAAGAAAAACTGAAGGGCTGGCTCCATAGTCAAAGCGGTACAATAGTCCATCACCCAGGAAACAATCCAAGCAAGATAGAACCACCCCACTTTCCTTGTGCTGAAATCCGCAGTCAAGAATATTTGTACAGGTCGAAGACACATTTGTACTCGAAATTGACGAGAGTTTTGGGGGAACAGAGAAGAGAATTGTGTCTCCTGAAACAATATTTTGCTCACGCGTAAAATGGACAACTTTGCTTCCACCAACATAGATTCCTGCTCATGAATTTCACATATTTGAAAATATGACACCAACTACCAATACTAGAATATCATTAAGCTCATTTTCAGTCACAACAGATACTGGAGTATAAATAACTGGCACTCTGACAAGAAATTAAAATATAGGAGATGAAGCCTGTTGTGCCTAATTAACTAATTAATAGCAAGTGTTATAATGGTAAGGGCAGCTTAGTGCACTAAGCTCGCACTATGCACGGGGTCCGGGGAAGGGCCGGACCACAAGAGTCTATTGTACGCAGTCTTACCCCTGCATTTTTGCAAGAGACTGTTTCCACTGCTCGAACCCGTGACCCCCTGGTCACATCAATATCAAAGGTGATTAGTTATCCAAAATTCAGGAGGCATGCATGTTTACTCTAGGATCTAGAGTATTAACATGACAGATATCCGATATTTCCTGCTACTTTTATTAACAGATAATTCTATTTTTGATATAAATGTACCAAGGAGGTACTAAATATGCATAGGAGAGAGTCCATGAGCTCCAGCATGTTTTCTTTGTTATTTACATAGTTCCTCCTACACCAAGAGTATAAATGTCTAAGATATCTAAACTTTACATGGGCAATATGTTCCCTTTTTCCCCTCAATAACCTACTAATCCTTCTGTCCAAGGTTTCCAGTGTACATAGAGGTATAGTCCTACTACTAAATTACCATCTTATCAGAATTAACTCATTAGCATTTTGCAAAAGCAGCACCTGAAATGGACATGCTTCTAAAGAGAATTGTGTCATTGCTTGTATCTTTTTCTTATGCTTAATCCACTACGATTTAGCAAAAGCTAAAGCCTACTGAGATCATGCAACACCAAACACTCTCTAAGTCACTATTCTTTTGGATCATCAACCATATTTTCAGCAAATTTGAAGATCCACAATTGAAAAGAAGGCCGGTTGTATTCCGCAATCATTTCTCTAATCTAAAGCCAAATGCTACTGTATACAACGCAAGATTGTTCATATGCGGTAGTAATTGCTGTTTTCGGTCATTTCCAGTATCATGAAATGAAGAAAAAAGTTACTAAAATCTTACATTAGGATTTACTGAAAGGGAAAATTAGTGAAATTGGGTTGCAGACTAACCGTGATGAGAGTATGCGAAGACAGTTCTCCACGTGTAGATATGATCACCTGCTGCTATCTCATTCCTTTCTACTCTGTGAGACAGCAGACCCATCTCTTTCCTTCTCCTTTCAGCTTTTCCCAATCTAGGTTTAAAATGATAAGTGAGCACAAGGTTTAAGGATTAAATGAAAATTTAAAATCAAATTATTACTACTATTATAAGCGGCTAACGAGAATTGGGGTCGTAGGGTTATTTTGGAGAATTGGGGTAAGAGACACATGCTATTCTGTTACTTTGACACATCCTCATAGATTGTCCCAATTATATGAAATTGAAAGATGAAATTGAACGACACCGTCTATCACAACGTCTTCCGTCATTTTTCTGCTCTGTTTCACTCTTTTTTCTCCCTCGTCACTTCACTGTGTGCTGTCTGTATAGTTATTGGGTGAGTTTTTTCTTCTGTGTTTTCCTTTGTTTATCCAACCTCTTCTGATTACCAGTGTTATTTAGATTTAAGATTGTGTTGCTTTTTTACTTTGAAGAATGTTTCTTTATGATGTTTTGAATCTTCCCTAGAAGATGTAGCTTGCTTTCATCTGAAATTCTTACTTAATTGGTGATATGTTGTTAGACTTGTGTTTTACGTGCTTTTCATGATTTGATCTTACTTTTTATTTAGATACTACATCCAGACTTGCACTAGAGGTGTTTGAGAAATTACCGACGAGAAAGAAGGGGTGAAGTATTTGAGAATGGAGAGGAAAGTTAGGAAATTTACTAGGAAAATTGTTTCGCCTGAGAACGCAAATACTGATTCCATGTCAGCTGTTTGTCAAGATGGGGTTCAAGTCACTGTTAAAAAATTGCCACCGCCCGAACCTAAAAAATGTAAGATCATTAATGCCAGGCTTGCTTAAAATAGGGGAAATGTAGAACAATTAAATTTGCTTTATGAGTTTTAATTTGGACTTCGGAAAGGTATGAAATTCTATTTTATAGTGGCTGCATAGATTTTGTAGGTAGAATAGGAGAATGAGTAGTATAAGCTAATTTTATTCTTTGTATACAAAATTCTTTTCAGCTCACTCATGGATTTCAATAAGCAATAAAATTTCAACCAACCGACGACCTCATACACAGAGCTAACGGATCTCTTCTTCAGCAATTGAGAACACTAGATAACACTAGAGATTAGAACTTATTATATAATATTTGGTAGCGTGGTAGCGTCTAGGATCAAGAATAAATGCTAAAGCTCTCAAACATTATGCAAATAAAGCATGTTGTTGCATTATTTGTCTTATAAATCAGCACACGTAAATCTATGCATCTTCTTTCCGTTCCATTGTTGTTTTCACAGATTATTTTAACTTTTTTTATGTATTTTTTAAACTCATCACCCATGTTCCTTGTAACGACCCGACCGGCCGTTTTGAGCTTTTGTACTTTACTCGCTAGTTCTTGGGCATGACTAGCCCCGTGTGATGAATTATGACTTATTTAAATCGTTGGCTTTGGTTTTTAGCAAAATCAAAATGAATTTGGAAGAACAGTTCCCAGTTTGAAGCTTGAAATTCGAAAGGTTTGACCAATATTTGACTTGCTTGTATATGATCTCGGATCGAAATTTTATGATTTTCTTAGCTCCGTTAGGTGATTTGGGACTTATGAGCATGATCAGAATGCATTTTGGAAGTCCGTGGAAGGTTTAGGCTTGAATTGACGATAGTGAGATTTCGGCGTTTTCCGATGGATATGTGAGATTTTGATATAGAGGTCGGAATGGAATTCCGAGAGTTGCTGTAGCTTCGTTATGTCATTTGGGATATGTGTGCAAAATTTCAGGTCATTCGGATGTGGTTTGGTTGGGTTTTTGATCAAAAGCGTATTTCGGAAGTTTTTAGAAAACTTAGGCTTGAATTCGATGTGAATTGGTGGATTTGGTGTTGTTCGAGATGTTTTGATGATTGGAGCAAGTTTGAACGAGGTTTTAGGATGTATTGGTGCTTTGGGTTGAGGTCTCGGGGGCCTCGGGTGAGTTTCTGGTGGTTAATCGGACCATTTTGGAGTTTGAAAGTTGCAGAAAAATCTGCTCAGCTGTTGCAGAGAATTATCTCTTCGCGTTCGCGAGTGGAGCCTCGCGTTCGCGTAGATGGATTTGAGGAAGGCCAGAATTAAGCCTTCGCGTTCGCGAAAGGATGGGAAGCAGTGCATCGCGTTCGCGAGAAGGCACTCGTGATCGCGTAGAGTAAATTGGGGTCCAAGGTATTTTGTTCATCGCGTTCGCGTAAGGTTGTCGCGTTCGCGAAGGTGTAGGAGGTAGAAGCATCGCGTTCGCGATTAGTGTGACGTGTTCGCGTAGGGCAAAAGTTGGTCAACATAAGTTTGTGCTTCGCGAACGCGAGGCGTTGACCGCGTTTGCGAAGAAGGAAGGGTCAGACCTGGGCAGAATGTTTTAAGTCACTTCATCCGCGAATTTGGGGCTCATTTCCCTCATTGTTGATCATTTTGAGAGCTTTTTGAAGGAAATTAAAGAGGGATTCAAGGAGAACCGATT